ACAGACAGCCTCTTCCCAATATGCGTTTTTGCAATTTGCATATATGCAAAAACGCATAATAAAAAGCTAGGAGTAAGTGCGGTCTTCTTCTGAAAACCACATTTGTTTAACAAAAGTGTACTTTGCTGCTTCGTCTCGAAAGAGTTAGAATACGGAGAAGAAGCCGTCATGGACATGAATAAGCTCGAAAATTGGAAGCAGCAATCAGGGTGTGTTCAAGATAACTTCAAAAAAAGCTCGTAGTAATGTTTCATTGTTGTTAACTTCGCATCATTAAAACTTGAGTGGGAGACGTGAAGTTAGTGATAACGAAACAGCACTACCAACCTTTTCTAAGCTGCCAGTACGTTTATTTGAATCTACGTTACAAGACAAATTTTTTTAGTTATCGCTGATAAAGAGGTTTGGATTTTCTGAATCTGAATGCGAATTCAGATGCTCAGAAAGTGTTTTATTTTTTTTTTAAACATGTTTTTTTAATCTTCGAAAATGATCACTTTCTTAATAATTGACGTGATGTAATGTAACAGTTTGTCGTGGCGGATTATAAATTTTTTACGCACAGTTAATAACCAACATAAACTAAAAGAAAATGTGAAATAAAAGGATCAATACGTAGGAAACACAATTATCTGTAATATGAACAATAAAAAACAACTATTTCTCCATAAGACAATACATAATGCAGTACATTTCAGAGCATAAGGTCTAATTGACAAAGTGGAGTGCCGGCAGTATTTCTGAAATCTGTTATGCGTCTGGATAGCATCGCATCAGCTGAAGATGGCCGACCTCGAAGCCGTCCTTGCGGACGTCAGTTATCTGATGGCGATGGAGAAATCCAGGAGCCAGCCGGCAGCACGAGCGTCAAAGAAGATCGTCCTTCCGGATCCGAGGTTTCTGCCCTCTTTTGAATCTTCTTTCCTCCATTACAAACTTTTCTTAGGCGTCTACGAAAAACTTAGTTAACTCAAATTGTATTCGACCAGTCGAACATGACACAAGGTTATGATGTTTGAATGATCGATGTGAAGCCGACTAATGTGCGTTTTGTATTTACGGTCAGAAGCACAAAAATCTTTAGTGTTGGGTGGAAGTCAATGTACATCGGAATGCCGGCCAATAAGTTTAGCTTAGAGTGAGTCGGAAGACAGAGGGACTTATGAAGAGATTTGGAAGTTAATTCAAAAGAAAGACTGGATAAGTTTTTGTAGCAATTGATTTGCGTG